TATATCTTCCTTAGGTAGTTGGTCTCTAAAATGAAGGGGGAGCATTGATCCTGGCATCTGTGCCGTGCAGTCCAAAGCACTTATCTAGGTAGCACACATCCAGGGGGAGCCCTTCTACATTTTAGGACGGTTGTGTTTTTGCGCTTATCCTTTATCTATCATATTGTGCAAATCCCGTATTGTCATCAATCCACCAAAAAGGGGGAGATTGTAAGGGCATATTTATCCCCAAGATATTTTGGCGATTGATGACAATGCTTGTGCGGACTAATTGCGTGCGTTAAGTTCTTTTAGAGATTCATCCTTTGGCACGAGACGATTTTCTCCCCTCGGTGTTTTATTCAAGACGGTGTAGCTCCTTCGTTTATTGTTGGTGGTCTAGTCTCGTAGGAGTCACCGTACTATCAAGAGGGGATCCGCTTTGGTAAGACTTGGGTGGAATCAACACGTACACATCCATATCACACCCGTCGTTTTCTTTCCGCTTCATTGGAGCTACCGTTTTCCCCTTAGTATGCTTTGCTCTGCCCCAGCGGTAGTACCGCGACCCACAGCGGTAGTACTGCCGAAGCTCCCCAGCGGTAGTACCGCTCTCCGAATGGTAGTACCGCTTGGGGCCTTCGGTCGTAGTACCGCAGTGCTTCCGGGCTACTGCCGCCTCGATTCGAGAACGATGTTTTTCGTGTCGGGTTTTGCGGTACTAAGGGCGGTAGTTGTGGCGGTAGTACCGCTCCAAGCGGTAGTACCGCGCCTACCCCCACGGTAGTACCGCCCTGGGGTCAGGCCCCTGTTAGCGCGGCAGTACCGCTGGGTTGAGCGGTAGTACCGCCCGGAGCGGTAGTACCGCCCTTCCCTAGCGGTAGTACCGCTCTGTGCGGGGCTGCTCAGTGGGATAACGGATGGATTGTTCCCCCCCACTATATAAAGGGGTCTTCTTCCCCAAAGTTGACCTACCTCTTTCCCCCAAAGCTCCATTGTTGCTCCAAGCTCCATTTTCGCCCGATCTCTCTCCCTAGCCAATCAAACTTGTTGATTTGCTCGGGATTGGTTGAGAAGGCCCAGATCTACACTTCCACCAAGAGAAATTTGATTCCCCCCACTTATCCCTAGCGGATCTTGTTACTCTTGGGTGTTGAGCACCCTAGACGGTTGAGGTCACCTCGAAGCCATACTCCATTGTGGTGAAGCTTCATGATGTTGTTGGGAGCCTCCAAGTGTTGTGGAGATAGCCCCAATCTTGTTTGTAAAGGTCCGGTTGCCGCCTTCAAGGGCTCCAATAGTGGAATCACGGCATCTCGCATTGTGTGAGGGCGTGAGGAGATTACGGTGGCCCTAGTGGCTTCTTGGGGAGCATTGTGCCTCCACACCGCTCTAACGGAGACGTACTTCCCTTTAAAAGGAAGGAACTTCGGTAACACATCCTCGTCTCCACCGGCTCCACTCTTGGTTATCTTGTCCCTTTACTTTTGCAAGTTTACTTGAGTTGTATCTATTGCTTGCTTGTGTGCTTATTGTCTTTGCATCATATAGGTTGTCCACGTAGTTGCACATCTAGACAACCTATTTCATTGCAAGGTTTAAATTGTTAAAAAAAGTCTAAAAATTGTTAGTTGCCTATTCACCCCCCTCTAGTCAATCATATCGATCCTTTCATTAAGGTACTCCGTCTTCATCGGCACCTCGTAGGGGCCGCGTCAGCCACATGAGTGTCGCGCGTGCTCCGAGCCCTCCCCAAGTGCGCGGGCATAGGGTGGTGCGCGGCATCATGCCGACGCCGTCGACGTCGCCCTTTCCGTCGCCACCACCTCCTCCTCGCATGACAGAGGAGGAGGAGGCCCGACTCCTTCAACGTGTCATGGAAGACTCCATGCGCACGCACGACGGCCGCCAGTGGGAGGGCCTAGAGACCATGATGGCCCTCTCTGCCGCCGGCGACATGGCCGTGCCAGAGCTACAGATGGTGACAAGGGAGGAGGTGCTGGAGGAGGAGCCCGTCGCCGTGTTCCACCCGGGCTTGGTGGGCCAGACGTGGAGCTGGTCGTGCACGGCTCCGGAGATGGCCGACGCCGTGGGGTGCGACCGCTGGGGGTGCGACAGCGTGTTGTGCACACCAGGAACCCACTTGACCCAAGCGGACATGGGCCGTCCCATTGCCGCCCCAGACGGACGAAAATAGGCCAAAACAGACGTATATTTGAGGTCATGCACTAGAGTTGATCTCATAGGTGCTTCTTTTGTCGCAAAGGTCCATGCGAAAGTCGTCCAAAGAAGTAGCGTGGATCTTCCAAACATAATCCCTCCACTCCTCTGGAGATCATCGGCAATGACCGCCGCCGTCGGGTGAGGTTAAGTAAGAGCATCTCCAGCCGCGCCCCCAACAGGCCCCCCAGGCGATTTTTTTGGCGCCGGCGCCAAAAAAACGACCCAGTCGCACCCCCAGGACGACGGAAAGCGCCGGTTCGGCCCGTTTTTCCGCCCGGCGGCCGCAGGCCGAACCCGGCACGCTGGGGGGGCGCTTGGGGGCTCCGGCGCAAGGGAAAAGCGCGGCTGACCACGCCGTCAGGTGAAAAGCCAAGATTTTCTTCCCGACCTGCCTCCCACCCCTCGCACTCTCGGCCGCCACTAGCTATATCCCGGCGCCACCCGCCGCCCTTCACCGATAGATAGCCATTCCCCACCGGAAAAATAGCAGAGGTTCACCGCGGCAGCCCCTCCGACAACAGCTGGGCGTTTCCGGCCGCCATTTCCGGCCGTCGGAGGGGCAGTTTACCGGCGGATGCCCGCCCACCAGGCACAAGGTGTTCGGCGATTTGCCTGCCTCGGTGATGGACTCGGATGATGAGGAAGTGCTCGCGGCGCTGCTGGAGAAGGAAGCCGAGGCCGACGTCCAGGGAGAAGAGCATCTCATGGTGCTCGCCGCCCTCACCCAGCTGCCGGCGAGCAATGAAAAGCCGCGGCGAGGTGGCTCGGCGCCGGGGCGGGTGAAAGCAAAGAACCGGCATCGTCTCGAAGGCTACTGCATGCTCTACGCCGACTACTTCGCCGATGCTCCACTTCACGGCGACAGAACATTTCGGCGCCGTTATCGGATGAGGAGAAAACTTTTCCTCAGGATTGTGAATTCCATCCGGGAGTTCGACAACTACTTCAAATGCAAGATGGATTGCACCGGCAAACTTGGATTCACCTCGATCCAGAAATGCACGACAACGATGAGGATGCTTGCATATGGAGCTCCCGGTGACTCACAGGACGACTATGGGCGCATGGCCGAGTCCACTAGCATAGAGTGTTTCTACAAGTTTTGTCGGGCAGTGGTGGCAGTGTTTGGACCGCAATACTTGAGAACACCCAATGCGGAAGACACTGCTCGGATCCTAGCACAGAATGCAGCAAGAGGATTTCCTGGGATGCTTGGAAGCATCGACTGTATGCATTGAAAATTGAAGAATTGCCCATTTGCTTGGTAGGGGATGTACAAAGGCGCCAAAGGCGGTTGCAGTGTGGTACTTGAGGCCGTGGCCACACATGACCTCTGGATTTGGCACTCCTTCTTTGGTATGCCATGAACTCACAATGACATCAACGTGCTGCAGTGCTCTCCTGTCTTTGCCAAGCTTGTTGAAGGTCATTCTCTTCCGGTGAACTTCGAGATCAATGGGAGGCACTACAACAAGGGGTACTATCTAGCTGATGGCATCTATCCGAGATGGTCGACATTTGTGAAGACCATCAAAAACCCTGTGTCAGGAGGCAAGAATGCCTGGTTTGCGAAGATTCAGGAGGCTTGCAGGAAGGATGTCGAGCGGGCATTTGGTGTGCTCCAATCTCGATTTACTGTTGCCCGGTACCCCGCTCAGACCTGGTCGAAAGATCAAATGTGGGAGATCATGACCTGCTGTGTCATCTTGCACAACATGATCATTGAGAGCGAGCAGGAAGAGCCATTGTTTGACACTGAACCATACCACAGGCAGGGTCCTCTTGCCCAAGTTGATCACCAGCTACCATCAACCTGGACTGCCTACCTCAGTATGCGTCAGGAGATCCGAGACCCACAGGTGCATCATCAACTGCAGCAAGATCTGATAGAGCACCTATGGAGGATCAAGGGCGACGCCGGGCGCGACGTGTGATGAAATATGAGTTTTTATTTGTTGAACTATATAATTTGTATTGAACTATTTGTTGTTGTACTATTTTGTTGAAATATTTTATTTTTTTGTGATGAAATATGTGATAAAAAAATATTTATGCTGACAATTGAACGCCGAGCCACGGCGAACCACGCCGAATATGGGCCTATTCTCGTCCATATGGGCCTTTTTTGCCGAAATGAGGCTAAAAAGTGGGCCAACATCGGCGCCCTGGGGGCGAGCTGGGGCCGACGATCGGGCGCAAAAACCGGCCCCAACGCTGAATGTATCGCCAGCTCGCTCCGAGGGGACGATTTTTAGGCATCCTGGGAGCATCATTAGAAGCGAAGAAAAAGAGAAGCAGAGTGCGAGGCAGCCGGGTTCAAACGCCCTCTACACAGGACTACGCGTAAACAAGTCCATCGCTGCCCGGTGGGGCCAGCGGTCTCCATGGCCCGCCGAAAAAGGGCTCTGCGAGTGGGCCCAGACCAGCCGCAGGAACCAGAGATACGGCCCGCTACACGATGACCCTGCTCGCTTGCTCTTGTGCAGCGGCTCGGCTCGGCTCCGCCCACCAACCCAGCACAGCAGCAGCACTCTAGCAGCCAGCCTCCCCCCCCTCCCTCCTCGTCGCCGGCCCTCCACCCCCTCCCTCCCTCCCTCCCTCCGGCGGGCCCCGCGCCCTCC